AGTGATGGTGGTTATTACAGGCTGCCTTCCGTTGGGGGTTACTCGGGTACATTTTCACATGCAACTATCTGGAATTCACTGTGTCAGATTGGGAAGTTAATTTGTAACAATGGACAGGTCAAGGGCAGGTCATGGACAGGTCACTGGCAGGTCACAGACAGGTCATGGGCAGGTCATGGACAGGTCATGAGCAGGTCATGGGCAGGTCATGGGAGCACGTCGGCAGAACGTACTGCACCTGCACAAAACCCGTAATGTATTGTGTATAGCACTTTTAGCAGAACGTCTCATACAAGGTCATATTTGTGTATTTAAGGTTAACATCCCAACTGGAGTTTCCAAATGTTTTGTTGGAAAACACATTGCCTGCAACAGCCAAAATTCTAATGCAACAGTGACCAAACATAAAAAAAAAAAAACAGCAAAAAAAATCAGGGTTTTGTGCACACGCAGTACGTTCTGCCGACGTGCTGGTCATGGGCAGGTTCAGTTTAATCAGGCTGACCTGCAGCAGGATTGGGTCCTCAGGGAGGCTACTGGATATTAAATATGTCACAGTTATAGTGTATGTAGTGTTGGTACTGGCCTTGGTGCTCAGAGATGCTCCTGTACATCATCAGGTTTGATAGGACTTTGCACAAGCTACAAAATTTGTATTTCCAAATTCTGTGGATAGAGGATGGGACTTAAAGCAGAAACAGGTTTCCTGTGGCCTGAAATGCTGTGACAGAGGTCAGAGGCATCAGTTCCCCCTTTCCTTCTGAAAACAAAAGGCAGCTGTTTTCCGGACATTTGGAAAAGTGTAAATGGTTTATTGATAAACAAATAACAAATCGGCCTTGCAGCAATAGCTGAATTGCGCCGAAGTTGACAATCATCAAGTACAGTAAAATCAATAAAAAAGTATTTACTATTATACATCTATATACAAAGTTCAAATATTATCAACGTCATTAACAATACTACATATATAATGTGTTTGAAATGATGAAGATATGGAGAAGAATGATACTGAGCAATGTCAGAACTGCCCCCTGGTGACTGGGTTTAAAACTGCACTAAGGTGAGTTGGTAGGATGGATGGATGGATGGATGGATGGATGGATGGATGGATGGATGGATGGATGGATGGATGGATGGATGGATGGATGGATGGATGGATGGATGGATGGATGGATGGATGGATGGGTGGGTGGATGGATGGATGAATGGATAGATGAATTAAAAGTACAAAGCCATCCACACATTCTTGTCACTCTAAAGCCTTACATTAGAATGCTTTCCTCTAACAATAACATTACTGCATGTAAGAGGTTACCTGAGGTGAGTCCCTGCTGACATGAAATGTCATGAACAGCTGATTATCAATAATTAATCTGTCAATAGACGATTAACCCTCACACAGCTGAGGGAGCCTTAAGCTTAGGCCACACTAATTTAATTTGTTAATTCTCTGATTTTTCAGAAAAATATGAAGC